CCTGGTTGTCAAATTCTGCAGATTTCTCCTTTGCAATGACTTTCTTGCAACGTCCTTGAAACATGCCACATCATTCCTGCTTCTATGCCTTTACCTGAGCAATTCTTCCCACCCAAAACTCCTTTCCGACTGACTCTATCTACATTCTGCCCTATTCAAAAAGTCCTAAGGTCTAGCTCAAATTGCATCTCGTCCATGAAACCATCTATCCATGAAACCTTTCCTAAAATCTCCAGTCCATACAGACCTTCTCTCTTTGCTGAAGTCCTAACAGACAAGTTAACACATTTGTCTTTTTTCATTTTCTGGCATTTAGTCGTTCTCTTTCCTACTATTAACCTGGCCCACGCCCCTACAACATGACATCATATCTAAACTTTTACAAAGCCTTGGAATAGCAAAGCAGTTAAGAGCTTGGATTCAAGAGTCAGAAAACCTCAGTTCAAATCCCACCTCTACCATTTATTAGCTATATGAACTTGGGCAAGTTAACCTAATCTAATCACTCTGTGCCTTAATTTCCTCATATGTTAATATGGGAAAAATAAGCACCTATCTTAGATATTTAAGTATTAAATAAGTTAACACGTAAAGCATTTAGAACAGGGCATGGTACAATGTACACAATAAGTTTAGTTAAGCTAACAGTTACCCGTTTTTACTTGCTCCAGGCCTCTCTACACGTGGACGTTTTATCACTCTTAAATAATGGTTTTGGTATGTCAATGCTCGGCATAGAACTCTCCTGGGCCTTCCATAACCCATGGGTCCATGCCCTTAGTTTGGCAACAAAGGCATTCCACAACCTGGCACCAGGGTATCTACTCAGCTTCAGTTACTCAACATCTACTTAACAAGAAATAATAGGAAACAGACACATAAGGCAGAGACCCTCTCCTCCAAGGTCTGAAAACTAATTCCAAAAACAAGGCAGAAACATGAAAACACCACACACAACGAATGTTCACCCATAGCTACTATCCAAGACCTTCTATCCAACAAAATCAGTTTCCTCAGTGTTTGGAAGATGCCCAAATCATTCAAAATAACTTGCTTTTGTCTGTTTTATTCCACCCTCATCCCCTCACACACAAACACAACCCATAAAAGCACCCTTTCTTAACCTGTACCTGTCCACTCCTGTTTTGAAGTCTAATTCAAACACCATCACTCTCTAGCCATTTGAACTTATATAATACTGTCTTATCTCAAATCAACTGTTCTCAAGGTGTTTAGTCACCCTCTCTATCCAAATATAAGCCCCTAAAAAGGAGTAACAATTTCTTACCAATTCTCTTCATTTTCCCCCATGCCCCCACCCCACCACTATGCTCTCCACTGAAACAGATCATGATAGAACAGGTGCCCAAAAATATGTGCTGAATTTAAGTAAAAAAGTGAACCTGGAAGTAGACAACTACTACTACTACTTACTACTAGGTAAACTACAGTGAGACTGGAAATAAACTACTGTGTCGACCACTAGACTATCGCTGGTCCACAAAGCCTCAAATCAAATAGGGCCATCCAAATCACAAGGAGGCAGTCCGCTTACTATCTCTTCTATGTAACCACCATATGGGTAGATTTGCTTGTTCAGTGGTACCTTGAGTCAATAGAAGGGTTAATGACCATCCTATAATCTGCCATCTAATTTGAAGAGTCTGACCTCCAAAAAGGAGTGAAGGATGATACACAGGGCCAGAAACCAGGCAGGGCAATATCCAACTGCTACATCCCCGAGTAGATGATTTGGGGAAGCTTATTAAATTCCACTCTCTGGCAAACCTGTCACCCTCCAGCATGCAGGTTTTAAGTACCATAACACATTCCATGAACTTAGCATTAAAAAATGTCACATAGATTTCCATCTGCCTACACTCCATAAATTTCCTACAATAAACATGTATTACTTGAATAATCAGAAAGTTTTAAGTGTTTATAATTTCTTCCAGTTTTTAATGGTTCTCCCATAATGATGAATGCAGAATGCAACACTCACAAATTGAAAGTCAACCAAAGGGCATATTACCCCAATTTTCCACTTCCCGGGTAAGGTGCCAATTTGGGGCAAAGTTCTTCACATGTTTCAATTTTAAAAATTACTTCCACCTATGCCATCACATGAAAGAAAAAAATGTCTCATTACCTTCCTGAGATTCCACAGCACTACAGCAAATTGCAAAGACCTGCCTAGATGGTTCCCTTTCCCCCTGACCCCCAAACACCCTCTTCTCTAAGGACTGAGCCCTTATTAAGGGCCAGGAACAGGGTGCTAAGTGATTTACATGATTATCTCAATGCTGGAAACAACAGTAGGTACTATTATTATCCCCAGAAGAGAAAACTGAAGTTTAAAGATGTTTGAGGAAAAAAACAAACAAAAAGAACTTGCCTGAGGCAATGCTTAAAGGAGGAGGGGATTCTAGTGTTGTAGGAAGAAATTTGCTGGGAAAATATATTAGGCCCTAGGGACTTCTGTTACAATAAAATTGTAACAAATCCTCATACTGGCAATTTATTACAGAGAAAACAATAAATGATATTTGGTCTAATTGTGGGTTTTCTTTGTAACTGTGTACCTCACGCTATCTGGCACATAACAGATGCTCAATCAAAACCTACTGTCTGGGGCTTCCCTGGTGGCACAGTGGTTAGGAATCCGCCTGCCAATGCAGGGAACAAGGGTTCAAGCCCTGGTCGGGGAAGATCCCACATGCCCGGAGCCACTAGGCCCGAGTGCCACAACTACTAAGCCTGCGCTCTAGAGCCCATGAGTCACAACTACTGAGCCCTCGTGCCACAACTACTGAAGCCTGCGCGCCTGGAGCCCGCACTCCCTAACAGGAGAAGCCACCGCAATGAGAAGCCTGCACGCTGCAACGAAAAGTAGCCCCCGCTCACCGCAACTAGAGAAATCCAACGTGCAGCAAGGAAGACCCAACGCAGCCAAAAATAATAGATAGAAAAATTTTTTTAAAAAATAATAGAAGAGGGACTTATGCTTCAGGAAAAGCTGAGTAGGTGTACTTTTCCTTATTTCTCCTGCTGAGAACAAATTAAAAGATTAAAAAAAAAACAACAACCTACTGTCTGTTCAAACCTAAACTTTAAATAGTTAATTCTTAAAACAATTTGATCACATGGCAATATCTGACAGGTTGTTTTAAATAGACTAAGTGGTAGGTGGTAAAATAATCAATAGCTATATCTACCCCTAAAGTAAAGGCCTCACATCCTGAGTATGTTTTGGAAAAAAAAAAAAGTTCAAATGGTAGAAATAAGCTGCATATCCTTTAAAGATAAGGTTTTCTAATAACAAATTTCATTCAAAATTTCAACATATTTCAATTTATACAATAAACACTCACCATTGATCTATCCTTAGTCATCTCAAAATAAATCAAAGAAGGTACATTTGCAATGTACTTTAAGAAACGGTATTACCTGATTAAGTTTCACCTTAACTGTTGCCCAGGGACATAAAAGGACAAAAATGTAAAAGCTGATTAAGGCAACTATCTATGTTTGAATTTGACTGCCGGAAAGATGAGTTCTTTAAATTACTATAGGTAACCTATGAGGTCTTTCAGGCACCCAAACTTTACTTTCCAGGGAGAAAAAAGGATCTGTTCCACAGGTAAATAAATGAGCATCTGGTGTTACACAGAAAAATTAACATACTTTTTAGTTTTTATCCTACATACAGAGTAGGATATAGATATTACACAAGCACACAGCACTTGGGCAATCTTTTCCTCCTTTCTTTGAAAAATGATTTATATAATAATTCCTTAATTCAGAAGTAACGCTTTCTCTCTTCCTTTTGAGGCTCAGGTTTCTTTCATTTCAAAACAGTACTCTTCTAAAAGACTTAAATTCTTCTTTTAAAAAAGACTTAATCATTTAACTCAGAAAGAGGGACCAAAAAGTCAGGAGGTGAAACCGGAGATATTCTTATTAGTCTTACATAACTTACTCTAAGTTGGAACTAATTCAGTAGCTTAACTAAAACTTGAGGTTTAAGCACAAACATGAGCTCTTTAGTATATTCTCCTCACACAGAGATAGTTTTAAAAATTGAAAGGGTCTTACTCAATTTTTTTCTTGTATTCTTAAAATATAAGCAACCACATGTATAGTTAATTAGGATGCCAACATAAAAAGGCTAAGATAGTCACTTATAATGAAGAGCGCTAAATTCAAGCTATCACATCCAGGTAATGCAATAACTGATAGAGCTGGATATAATTTCAGAAAATAAATTAATTTTTAACACTGATTTTTAAATATCACCTCTGTAAGTATGCATTAAGTGTTTTTATTAAGTGCTGAAGGGAACATCAAAAAGTGATTTTCAAAAGCAATTGGTATACGTTCACCCAACCTGCAAACAAAACTCTGAAATCGTAAAGTTAGTTGTTCATGCTTAATTAAATTGGCTTTGATAATTGCAAATTATCCCTTCCTAGGTAAATATGTATCAAATCTTCCAAAATAAATTTACACAAACACTGTCCTTGCTAGAAAAGCCCTGATCTGAACTCAACTAAAAGCTACTGTGTTAACTATATCTCACCACTGAGTCATTTGAGCCCCAGAGTAATACCGGCCGCAGATTCCCTGCATTGCTTTGGGAACTGCTGCTTGCTTCATCAAGCACTGAACTGCAAATTCACCTTTCTAAAAAGACTGAAAGCAAGAAGCCAAGTTTCGCTATCTAGTTTTCTAAAATGAATTAGGGTTTGGGATTTCACTGGGAATGACCACGTTATCAAGATGCCATCGCCCTCTCGAGGCATTTAATTAACAATACCTTCTCTGTTTTCCATTCAACCACCTCAATCAAATTTCCACTAGAACCAGACACACAAAAAGTTGGTTTCATGGCCTTGCTGAAAGTCTCCTCTGGGTGCAAGCCCTGGGATCCCACATTCATTATGCAGAAGGGGCAAAGGGAAACGAAAAGCAACAATTGTTAGACAACGTAGTGACATTACCTTGCCCGTCTTGTGATCAAACCAGACGAGAGCATGGTTCCTTGACAGCACTTTGCAATCAAAGGTAGCATTATTCTGTGCTGGTCGACAGCGGGCCACCGAGCGGCCGATTTTAATAGGCTCGTCCAGGTAGACATGACGCTCCTGAAACGGGTGTGAGTTCGGGCGACAAGTGAAGATGGCCAAGGCTGACGGCATCGAGGACAGACTTGGGGTGTCTCTCCTACCAGGGACAAAGAGGAGTTCCACCGGATCCGGACTGCCCTTCACAAGCCTATACCCCTATCCCCCCCCAAATTTTAAATTAAAACAAACTGCACATTGTCTAAGCATAACCAGTGAACATCAAAAACTCTTCACTGGGGTGGGAAGACAAGCCAGCGCAAGCCCCATCACCTCCTTTAAAACCCAGCAGGGCCCTGATCACAAAAAGTCCCCAACCGGCAGCTTTCAGTCCATCTTCTTCCCTGGGAAGAAAAGGCTCAAACATTGGACAGCTTCGGCCAAGAAAACTCCTGGAAGACAGTTTGAGGACTGGAGGTATACAACCAGATGAGTCACACACCAATTCTTGTGTTTTGTTTGGGATCGCGGCCGCTTTCCCCCCTCGGTGGCGGAAATGTTGCAGCACTGCAGCATGAAGAAAGGGTCGGTGCGGCCAGAAAGGTCCTTTCGGGCGGAAGAAAGGTGGTGTAGCTGAGCACCTCTGGGCAGCCACCGCCCGTCCTCGAGGGCCTCGGGAGTGGAGGGACGAGAGGCGATGGGGGCGGCTAAGGGGTCTAGACGGCCAGCGGGACAGTCTGCATTGCCCCTGCTGCGCGGAGGCCGGCCGGGAGGTGGCACGGGGTCCCCGGACCGCCGTGGGCCGAGGCGGCGGTGGCTGAGGTCCTTGGCACGAGGAGCGGGGACCGGCGGGGGCGCGGGCAGCGGCCGAGGCGGGACTCCGGGGCACCTGGCGGGCGTCCCCGCGACCAGGGCGGGGATCCGGCTCCGCAGGAGGGTGCGGACCGAGCGAGGCGCGACCCGGGGGAGGCTCCGGGGTCTCGACCCGCAGGAAGTTGGTCCCTGAACACCTGGGCTCCTGGCTGCTGCTCAGCACACCGGCCGCCTCCTTTTAGGGTCGCCCCCGCGAGGGTCGCATCTCAGGGGAGGCAGCCGAAGCTCCGGGCTGACGAGGAGGTGGGGGAGGGAGGCCGGCCCGGAGGTTGGGGGAGAGGCCTGGAGGCCCCGGGCTGGGTCCGCCGCAGCCTCCACCACTCGCGGCCGGTGGGACACCCTCAGGCTGTGCCCGGCGAGGCAGAAAACTTTCCGATCTGGTGGGGCAAACATGAAAACAAACGGCCGTCAGCCGCCGGTGCCCGCCCGCCTCAGCCTTCGCCCCTCTCAACCCACCCGAGCCAGCCCCCGCGACTGGCCACGACCTCGGCCGACCTCTCTGCGGACGGGCTGCGGGGATTGGGCGCCCGGACGCCACGACGGGTCCAGCTTCCCTTGCCGCCGCCGCCTCAGCTTACCTTGCCAGCGCCAGCCGCCATAGTGACTCTGACTGAAACCTACCCGGTGCACCGCCACGGGAACGCGCACCCTTCAAGGGCCCTCCTACCCTCTCTCCCGCGCCGTAGTCCGGAAGTCACGTGATCGATGCCTCGGAAGCCATGATGGACAAGGGCAGAAAAAGAGGGCAAGCTAATTTTTAACAAGCCTCCGAACGCCATCTTAGTTAAGGGTTAGACGCTTCAGCACCGTGGGACAACCTGTACCATTTTGGTTAAGGGCAGGAAAAAAATTTGACCTGTTGAAGGTTTTCTAAACATAACTTGCCAAATTCCTACTTTAGCGTCTTGGTAGAAGGCGCCTACTTTTACTAAATTTTATTCACTGTAGTCGTCGTTGAAAATACCACTGAGCAAGGCGAACAACCCCATCCAAAGGAGAGGTTATTAGCATCCATCTTAGCTGTGGGCAGCACAGTCCCCCACGACCGCCTTAGGTGTGAGCAACTAAATTCCCACAGGCCTTGGGATTTGTGCATCTAAAACAAGGTCTATCCTCCCCTTGTTGAAGTCTTCACTGCGTTATCCTGCCCGGAGGAACACTCTTTCTTAGTCCCTGCATTCCATTTCAAACAACCTTTCTTCTCACTGGGCCTGTCTTGTACCCCAGGGCTCCTAACTCAGATTCAACCCCGGAATGAATGTGACTTCATAAAGTTTAACATCACGTTGCTTCCAGAGAGTGGTCGAACAATTTCTAATATGAAGAAAGGGGGACTGCTTCTACTCAAAACATTAAGGTAGATGAGGAGTCATTAGTCCGAAGAAGGAAAGATTTTGCAAAATCTAAACGAAAATTTCAAGAAAAGACAGTGGGAGTGAGTCTTACTCATTTAGAATCAGTGGTGGCTTCATTCTTCAGTTTCCTTTGACAACAGGCTCCACCACTTTGTGACCTTGGGCACGTTTCTAAACCTCTTCAAGCCTCGTTTTGTCATCTATTACATGGAGATAATACTTAACTCACTTCTTGAGAGAATTCAAGGTAGTAATGCATTTGCTCCTAAAAGAGTAACTACTTTGCATTTCAATTCTTATATACAGGGTTTGGACCCTATCCTAAGCTCTGTGCTGGGCCCTGGGGACACATAGGTGAACAAAACCTCAATCCGTGCCCTCTGAGAGTACACCTGAGTATTGTGAGATAGGGATGGGGAGAGGAAGGTGACAAACAGAGATAACTTCACTTTGATGTAATTAAGGCTAAGATGGAAACAAGCACTGGGTGCTAAAGGGGTCAGAGACGGCCTTCTACAGGAGGTAACTGAACTGAAACAAGGCTGGTAGAAAAACGGCAATGAATATGGTATTTGATGAATGGCTTCAGAAGTTTCCAGGAAGAAGGTTTAGCAAGAAAAAGAAATAAGGCTATTTGAAATGGTGGACCAATGTGTCTGGCACATAACAGTAACTCAATAAATATTTGATACGTGATTGAAAATTACATACTGTTACTCATTACAGGATAAAGTAGGAGTGGCACAAAGTGAGTCTGGAGAGAATATGTGTTAGATTATAAGGACCTTGTATACTTTTCTCACACTCTTCACTATTTCAGCAGATATGTATTGAATTATTACCATGTTCCAGGTACTTTTTTTTTTTTCTTTCCAGGTACTTGATTCTGGAGAAAAATAAGGATATGTTGAAAAGTTTTAATATAAGAGGATGAAAGTTTTTCACTTGTGGTAACTTTTAGGCTTCTGTAGAGTAAAGTAATATAGAACCCGCCACATCCCCTAATGAGTTCTGTGCATGACCTTATAAGTCACTTATGCATTCTTGTCATTCATTCACTCTATAAATATTTAATTTGAATGTGGGAAACAGCTACTGCGACAGGCTCTGGAAATACAACAATTAAAAAAGAAAGACTCCCTTGAGTTACTTACAATTTAGTTGATGACACGATAAGATTCTTGCTGTAATGAGTTTATCAAGAGGAATGGGAGCATGGCGGAATAGTTTAAACTGAGATGAAAAATGAGTAGGAGTAGGCCAGCTAGTCTGATAGTAATGGGATAATGAAATTTTAGGCCAAGGAAACATTACAAACACCCAGAGACTCGGGAGAAAAGGACTTTAAGGGAATTACAAGTAGGTCTGTATTACTGGAGCATAAGGAGAGGTGGTCAAGAAAGAAGGGCACAGAAAAGTGGTTTCAGTTGCTGAAGGACTTGCAGGCAATGCAGTGGTCTTCGGAGTATTTCCATCTTTCTCCTAGAAGATCAAAGTAGAATAATGAAAATCAAGGTTTCAGAATCACACATTACATCACCATTTAAAAGCACTGTAAATTATAAATTATTAAGCTTCTCTAAGTTTCAATTTCCTCATTTGAAGAAAAGTAGATAGTACCCCCACGGAGTCTTGTTAGGATTAAATAAAATAATGTTAGGATTAAATACGATAATGATGCCTAGAAAATAATAGATGCTCAGAGAATGTTAGTTTCTATTATTATTACTAATATTAAGAATTCTTCCAGGGCTTCCCTGGTGGTGCAGTTGTTAAGAATCCACCTGCCAATGCAGGGGACATGGGTTTGAGCCCTGGTCCAGGAGGATCCCACATGCTGCGGAGCAACTAATCCCATGCGCCACAACTACTGAGCCTGTGAACCACAACTGCTGAGCCTGTGTGCCACAACTACTGAAGCCCACGTGCCTAGAGCCCATGCTCTGCAACAAGAGGAGCCCCCACTCGCTGCAACTAGAGAAAGCCTGTGTGCAGCAATAAAGACCCAACACAGCCAAAAATAAATAAATTAAAAGAAAAAAAAAAGAATTCTTCCAGCCTTCTACATACAGTAAGGAGCAAGTTGTAATGTCTCTAATTTGTATATGGAGAAGCTTGTTCATAAATGTGGAAACAAAAAATGTCTCTTTATGTTGAGTTCTACTACAATCTCTTAAAATTAACGTTAAATAGAATATGCTTTTTCACACTTTTTTCAAAGAAAAGCTAGGACTGCTATAACCTGGAAGGGTAAAGAATCTCACCAAGCTACACAGGGTGCTGGAAATGCTAAAATGGCAATGAAGGCGTTCCTCACCCACTGGTATTTGGTAGGCACAGAAAAGGCTTAAATTAGACATCTCATACATGAGATATTTTGAATTCTAAGCCATGTGGGTGTTCCTCTCTACGATTCTGTATCCATACAATATTTTAATTAAATAAAAAGCATGTTATGTTTTGAGAAATTTGGAATGATAGTATTTCCCAATGTGGTAGCTTTCTCTTCCTTTATTGTTTTTACTTTTTTAACAAACTGATCATTATTACCACTGCTATGATCCATGCTACTTTTCAATCTAAGAAAAACAAAGAACGAATTGTAAAATTATTACCCTGGTACCGTGAAAGATAGGCAATCATTAGCATTTGAGATGTGTAAGAGACAGCTCGACTTACAGAGTTTACTCTGTAAACTCATTCAGTATGCAACCCTCCCTAAGTGATACTCATCTAATTGGATTTTAACCAATGACATATGATATCATGAATTATGGAACACTTGCATAATTGCTTAAGTAGAGTATCTGGTTTGCAAATACGTATAAGTAAACTAACTAAAGAGGAGACCTGGGGTAGTCAAAGATTAAAATTGAGAGGATATAATATTTTTAATGGCACACACTAGCTTCTTGAAACTGAAGTTTAATCTTCTTCACAATAAGGAAAGCTCTCCTCATCAGGGAGAGTCTAATGAGTGGAAATACTCTGTCATTTCCCAGGTGCCCAGGGTGGAGTTGCCCAGACATTCCAGAGGTACTGCTCATTGGTTTTTGGCTTCCTGGTTCTTCAGGAAATAAAAGAAGAACAATTACCTGAAGACAAGTAAAGACATTTATTTTTCATTCAGCAGTCTTTTTCTGTGAAAATAAAAAGAGGGAATCAGAAGATTAACTCTCGAAAGGATCATGGACAACTAATCCAGTTAGTTCCCTCATTTTGCAGGCAAGGAACCTGAGGCTCAGAGAAGGTACATTTATTGAAAGTGTATTTTTTTTAACATCTTTATTGGAGTATAATTGCTTTACAATGGTGTGTTAGTTTCTGCTTTATAACAAAGTGAATCAGCTATACATATACACACATCCCCATATCTCTTCCCTCTTGCGTCTCCCTCCCTCCCACCCTCCCTATCCCACCCCTCTAGGTGGTCACAAATCACCGAGCTGATCACCCTGTGCTATGAAGCTGCTTCCCACTAGCTATCGGTTTTACATTTGGTAGTGTGTATATGTACATGCCACTCTCTCACTTCGTCCCAGCTTACCCTTCCCCCTCCCCATGTCCTCAAGTCCATTCTCTAGCAGGTCTGCGTCTTTATTCCCGTCCTGCCCCTAGGTTCTTCATGACCTTTTTTTTTTTTTTTTTTCAGATTCCATATATATATATTAGCATATAGTATTTGCTTTTCGATTTCTGACTTACTTCACTCTGTATGACAGACTCTAGGTCCATCCACCTCACTACAAATAACTCAATTTCCTTTCTTAAAAGTATAGAACACTTCACGAATTTGCATGTCATCCTTGCGCAGCGGCCATGCTAATCTTCTCTATCGTTCCAATTTTAGTATATGTGCTGCCGAAGCGAGCACTTGAGCGTGTATTTACCACACGTTTTCCTCATGACATCTCTGTGTGGTATTAACCCCATTTTATAGGTAAGGAAACTAAGGCTTAAAGAGATTGAGTGACTGATCCTAAATCACCATGCTAGATCTAAAGTACGTGCTGGGTTGTTTGGGTTTTTTCTTTTTAAAAATTTTCTTTAGTGTTTTTTTTTGTTGTTTTTTTTTTTTTGATTGATAAAGCTAATACATATTCATTGCATATATTCATATAAGCAACAGTAAGGAAAGTAAAAATCCTCTCTATCCTCATCACAAATCCTCAGCCTAGGGCTAGCTACTATTAACAGTTTATTAGCTATATTCTTCCAGATGTTTTTCTAAGCCATATGAGGCATGCCCTTTAAAAAAATACCATATCATTTATCAGAAATGGGAAAATCAACACTAGGAGTCTTATTCCTAAAAGTGATAAATACTTTATATCAATAGCAAAAAGCCTGGACAAGGGGAGAAAGAAGAGGAAGAGAAGAAATTCTATTTATTTTTGTCACTCTTGTGTAAGTCCCTTTTTGATTACTGGAAGCGGTCTCTTGCTTTTTATAATCAATTTAAGAATGTTAGCTGGAATGCAGCAAATGGTTAAGAATAAAAGGGATGGGTCAGAAAGCCACATGAGGCATTTTCTTTCTGAATTTTTATTGGTACATTTGGGTTTGTTTTTAAATAACTTAGTTATCAATTAAAATATCAGAGACTTTCTATGTGGTGGTTTTGTTCATCTAGTGAGTTTTTTAAAAAATATTTTAAGTATATTCTTTATTCTAGGAAGACTATAACATTTTATTTTATTTTATTTATTTTTGGCCGTGCTAGGTCTTCGTTACTGTGCGCGGGCTTTCTCTAGTTGCGGCGAGCGGGGGCTACTCTTCATTGCGGTGCGCGGGCTTCTCATTGCGGTGGCTTCTCTTGTTGCGGAGCACGGGCTTTAGGTGTGCGGGCTTCAGTAGCTGTGGCACGCGGGCTCAGTAGTTGTGGCTAACGGGCTTCATTGCTCCGTGGCATGTGGGATCTTCCCAGACCAGCGCTCGAACCCATGTCCCCTGCATTGGCAGGCAGATTCTTAACCACTGCGCCACCAGCGAAGTCCCAAGACTATAACATTTTAAATCATCGGGGTTTTTTTGTTTTTTGTTTTTTTTTTCAGTACACGGGCCTCTCACTGTTGTGGCCTCTCTCATTGCGGAGCACAGGCTCCGGACGCGCAAGCTCAGCGGCCATGGCTCACGGGCCCAGCTGCTCCGCGGCATGTGGGATCTTTCCGGACCTGGGCACAAACCCGTGTCCCCTGCATCGGCAGGCGGACTCCCAACCACTGCGCCACAGGCGAAGCCCAAAATCATCGTTTTTTCATGTAATTATTTGTATTTCCTTTTGATAATCTCCGTTAGAGCTTTTCTTTCACATAAATGCATTGTTCCTACAACTGTACAACACGGTCATAGATAATGGTCAAAAGCATCTCACTGAATGGTTATAATTTGGAGAATTCATAGATTTCTTAGGAATCTTTGATCTTAAGCATCCCTAAGACGACTGGTTGAAATGGAGTAAACAGACTGTGCAGTAAAATGAGTCTGCAGTGCCTGCTCTTCCTCCACCCCAATTCCCACCGAGCATGCTCAGCATATGAGGCTTGGTGGGAGAAGACTGTTGCTGGAATCTGCTGGGCTTTCTGTAGGGCTGATTTCATGAATGTGTGACCTTACATGGGGCTTGAGGACTCTGCTGTCTTGAAATTCTTAATACTTTTTAAACGAAAGGCCCCTCAGTTTTACTTTGTACTGGGCTTGTCAAATTATAGAGCTGGTCCCACCTTGGGCATACTGCTTTGAGAACCCAGGCTCCTCTGTACAAGTCCAGCATGTTAACAAGCACAACATATGAAATGCTAGGAGAAATTAGTGGGCTACTGACAGCAAACAAGCATCCCTATAGAAATGAGACCTTTTCAAGTGAAACCAGTCAGGTCCATCTCTCTAGCTCCTGGAATCTAATTATATAATTTGGTATCAGTGGCAAAGATGGTTGCCGAAGAAAACGTGCCTTGATTTTGTGACTTATCTTCTTACTCTTAGACTCTGAAGTTATTCTTGAAAATGATAATTAGAATAATACGAAATCAACACAGAATCTCTGTCCATTAAAGTTTTGCTTTTTATTATAAAACATTTCAAATGTACAGGAAAACTACAATTGCAATGAACACACATATATACTCCTCTTTGAGTAAAAGTTGTTACCATTTGGCCATATTTGCCATATCTATCTATGTATCTGTGTGTTTTCTGAACTTTGCCGCTCTGCGGCATGTGGGATCTTCCCGGGCCAGGGCACGAACCCGTGTCCCCTGCATCAGCAGGCGGACTCTCAACTGCTGCACCACCAGGGAAGCCCCATGTTTTCTGAACTTTTGACAGTGAGTTGCAGACATCATGACACTACTCTGAAATAGTTCAACATGCCCTTCCTAACAATTCAGACATTCTCCTAAATAATGAAAATATAATGCTTTTTTTAAAAAGAAAGTATTTTATTTGTAATGTAGAAAACTTGGAAAACAGAGATGTATAAAGAAAAATTACCCATAATTCCACTGCCCAGAGATAACCACCATAAGTAGAAAAATGGCATCACGTTGTATCTATTTGTCCACACAGAATGAAGCATCTCTACTTATTTTCACCTTTACCAACATTTTCCATGCCTTCTGTAGTAGGCAGAATAATGGCCCCTCAAAGATGTCCATATTCTAATCCGTAGAACCTATGAGTATGTTATGTTGCAAGGCAAAGGAGACTTTGCAGTTACAATTAAGGGTACAGAATTTGAGCTGGGGATCTTATCTTGGATTATCTGGGTGGATCTGTTTTTAATCACATGAGTTCTTAAAAGTGGAAGAGGGAGGCAGCGAGTAAATCAGAGAAATGTGACATGAAGACTCAACCTGTTGCTGACTTCGAAGATAGAGGAAGCCTCCAAGAAATGAAGGGAGCCTCTAGATGATGGAAAAAGGCAAAGAAACTGATACTTTCCTAGAAACTTCAGAAAGGCCAGTGCCTTGATTTTAGCTTAGTGAGACCCAGTTGGACTTCTGACCTATAGAATTTTAAGGTAATAAATTTGCATTGTCACTACATGTGTGGTAATTTATGATAGCAGCAATAGAAAATGAATATATCTCCCCATTTGTATTTGCCTTTGAAATGGAAGTCTTTTATTCTTTAGGACATTTTTTTAAAATTTATTTTTGGCTGCGTTGGGTCTTCATTGTTGCACGCAGACTTTCTCTAGTTGTGGCGAGCAAGGGCTACTCTTCGTTGCGGTGTGCAGGCTTCTCATTGCAGTGGCTTCTCTTGTTGTAGAGCATGGGCTCTAGGTGCGTGGGCTTCAGTAGTTGCAGCACACGGGCTTCGGTAGTCGTGGCTCATGGGCTTCAGTAGTTGTGGCTCACAGGCTCTAGAGTGCAGGCTCAGTAGTTGTGGCGCACGGGCTCAGTTGCTCCATGGCATGTGGGACCTTCCTGGACCAGGGATCGAACCCGTGTCCCCTGTGCTGGCAGGTGGACTCGTAACCACTGCACCACCAGGGAAGCCCTCTTTAGGACATTGTGACTGAATTATTTTCTTATTTTCTTCTTCTATTTGGCTTTGAAAACAATAATGACTAACACAGTGAGAAAATAAAGGCAGTACCCCTAGGTTTTGCTCTGAAAGGGGGACTAGATCTTCTATGGTTCTTTTGACCAGGGCTGGGCTGATACATTCACAGACCATTTACAGACTCATAGGGCAGGGGGAGGGATTGCTCTCTAGTCTTTTTAAGAAATTCACTTGGAATGATGGAAACTGTTTTGAGGAAAGCCATTTATTCTCAATCTCTCACAGATCTTTGTACTTGTCTTTCATAGCACTTATAACACATTGTAATGGGGTACAAGTATAACATCTTGATTAATGTCTGTTGTCCCTCTGGACTCTAAGCAACGTAAGGGTAAGGACCCTGTTGGTTTGTTTTTGCTATGTGCCTAGCACATAGTTGACCCCAAAATATTTGTTAAATGATTGAATGTTTGGCAATGCAAAAATCTGGTTCTTGAGTGGCTAATGAGAAGCTAAACTGCTGTGTGTAATTATATTAACAATTATAATACTAAACTATATATAAGATTGATTATATGTAATTATATATATTATTTTAAAGAATATTAAAACAATAAAATTTTAAAGGAAGAAAAAGCTGTTTTCAACAAGTGCTTGGGAATCTCTTTGAAGATAATTTTGTTTTCTTGGAGACTTTTTTTTCCTGGATGCAAATTCAGACTACACTGTCTGAATGTCATTCTGGAGATACCAATGTGTTCCTGCATATGTGTAAGTTCCTTCCAAACATCCTCACAGGAGGTCAGGAACACATTGTCAGGAAAGACAATGAGTAGTGTCTTCACTTCCTACTGGCAGCAAGCCCTAGAATCAATCAAGCAGGGAGCCCACTCTGGGCTATTGTGCTCAAGTCAGATTGCATTTCACCACTCTAACCACCCAGATGGACAGTTTGGGGGCAATGGAGTTAAAATCACCACTGACTAAGCGATGTCCCCTTGCTGGAGACATTTCTAAGAGCTACAAACCAACAGAAAGGTTGCTCTGTGAAGGAACAGTCACTTCAGGGAACGTGAAAGTGGAATGTCATCAGTTAGACTGAACAGCATAGCGATAAGCCTGAAAAGCACTTTCACACTAAGCTTTGAGGGAGGGTGTACCCAGGGCCAACTTTTTCCTACGGAACCTACGTTGCAGTTCTGTTTCGGCAAGTGTTACTGAAAGCAAAATTTTTTTCAAGTCAGCTGTTATTGGTTAGAGTCCTGTGCTTGCAAACAACAGAAACTACCCCTGGCCAACTTAAGCCTACGGAAAGTATTGGAAAGACATGAGGTAGCTCAGGGAATGGAAATAAACACTGAAGAAGCAAGTCTCAGGCAGGATGGGAAGCACAGCTGATGAGCAACAAAAGCCAATAAGCAGCCTCCTTATCAGCTTGACCTTTTTCAATCCTTGAGTCTCTCTCCTCAAGATTCAAATGCCCCAGAGAAGGTGATTGACCTAGGCTGGGTTACATGCCCATTTCATGGCCAGAAGGGTGCAGAACTTTGAAGGACAGTCCCACTAATTCTATATCTAATGGAAGAAGGATGGTTTCCCAAAGCTGTTGCCAGGAGAAGGGGGAAGGATTGCTGGGCAGGCAAAAGCATTAGATGTCCATTCATCAGCTTATTCACTGAGTGCACATTCAGGAAAATTAGTCTTCTCCTTGAGCCCCATAGCAAAGAACTATAGCTACCTATGGAATCCAGGCAAGTAACTTCCTGTGTGACCTTAGACAAATCATAAACCCTCTCTGGGCCATAGTTTCCTCATTTATAAAATCTATTGAATGGTTTGGACCAGAGGATCCCAAGTGGCTTGTAGAGAGAAAAGAGCCAGAAGAGAGGATCTCCTCCCAGATATTGGCAATATGACCTTGGCTGACTCATTTGCCAATTCTGGGTTTCCCTGTGTGTAAAGGGGGTGAACTAGACACCTTCAGGTTACTTCTAGCTGTAAAAGTCCATGATTCTAAAAAAGAACAGATGGAAGTAGCCAGGTCAGTCTTTCCTCTCAGAATCAATGAAATATCCCTGTTTTTAGGAAATATACACTGAAGTATTAAGGAGTAAAAGGGCCTTATGTATACAACCTCCTCCCAAATAATCCAGAAAAAAAAAACGCATGTATATACATATATACATACGTGTATGTGTCTCTGTGTAAAGAAAGGTTCTACAAATGTTAAAAAGTGTCCAAATGTTAAAAAGTAGTGAATTTGAATAAAAAGTGTGTGGGAGTTCTTTGAGCTATTCTTTTGTTTTGTTTTGTTTTGTTTTGTTTTTGTTTTTGTCTTTGAGCTATTCTTGAAACTGTTCTCTAAGTGTAATTATTTCAAAATGAACTCCAAAAAAAAAGTCAATGGGAAGGGCAAAAGGAAATCTGTTCCTCTGCCTGCTTGTCCAAAGGCTTTTTGATGAATTATTTGTGTGACAAGTGAGTATTTGTATGTCTGTACTGCTAGATCCTAACTCTCTAGGGGAAGTTTTTAGTGCCAAAGCATGGACTCTACAATGCGTTCTCACTACTAGTGTGACAAAGCTCCACTGTGAACCTGGAAGATACTGGATAAGGCCTGTCTATTTACTGCTCCTGAGGAGTCTGACTAAGTGGGTGGAGATTTCCTGTTGGCTCTTATGCTTTTCTTTTGTTTTAACAGTGGTTTAGGGGAACATACTTCAGACACAGCATATGTATTTAATGCTTTGTACTTTTAAATATTCATCTATAACCCAACAAATGTCTCTACCAACTACTTACTAACTTGATTTGAAGCCAAACATTACTACCTTCACACAATCACTTCTTACTGAAAATTGATTTCAGTATCTAGAAGGGTATTCATTGCAGGATCATATTAGCAAAATATTGGGACCAACCTAGGGGTCCAACAATAGTGTACCGGTTAAATAAATACATTCACGCAATGGAATATTGCGTAGATGGTAAAAAAGAATGAAGAAGCTCCCTAAGAGTGGCTGTGTAATGATCTCTAAGTTAAAAATAAATGAAGCACCCACATGTGAGTAAATATGGAACAATCTCCAAGGTATACTTTTAGAGCAATGTGCACAATTATGTGTAGGTATCATACAATTGTATTTTAAAATTGCTTGAAGGAGTAAGCAATGAGTGGACAATTAATGTTTTTGCCTGCTCAGCATATGCCTGTATATATATTTTATATATATATATATATATATATATATATATATATATATATATATATGCAGAACATTTTCTGGGAAGAGATACAGGAAATCAGTAACAGTGGAAAACTCTGGAGAGGGGAACAATGGGTGGGGGTAAGAATCTGGGGAAGAAGGACAGGAGGGAGACTTGATTTTCACTTACATCTTTTGAGTTTTGTACCAAATTTAATGGAGGACTCAGTGCCCCTTCAGCAGTAGATCCTTCTGATCCTCCCTCATCATGTAGGCTCAAGGGAGGATAAATCACTGTAGTCAAGGAAACTGTCCTGTTAGGGTATGAGTATTCTGCATATTGGGTTCATGACTTATCTTTCTGTTCCCAGCAGCTCTTCTTATCTTTGCTTAGTAATTGTTTATTGAATTGAGTTCAACTGGATTGATTTGCTGTGCTTTTAGGGGCACTTATTAGCCCTTCATGTTTTTCCCTCTTTTCTACCCTAAAGGAAAAAATATAAAACAAACATTTATTTTCCATTCTTAAGAATTTAAAACTTAGACAGTCAGTTGATGTAAATTGGTGCCTCCTTTTTGCAGGGCATTTTGGTATCATAAATCAGCATGTAAAATGTACTCATGTTGTAACCCAGTACAGCATTTTGTTAAGATATAGAAACAGATCTTACATGTATATGATCCCATTTTTATCGAATGTCATCCATATATCACTATATGTATATATGCATAGATATCTAGGAGATGTTTATTTCTCCATGATGGGTGGTTTTCCTCTCTGTATTTTTTCATATTATTCACATTTTTCGGGAGTACACATTGTCATCATTTTTACCCAAAAATGAAGCTATTAAAAAGAAAAAGCTGGGGCTTCCCTGGTGGCGCAGCGGTTGAGAGTCCGCCTGCCGATGCAGGGGACACGGGTTCGTGCCCCGGTCTGGGAGGATCCCACGTGCCGCGGAGTGGCTGGGCCCGTGAGCCATGGCCGCTGAGCCTGCGCGTCCGGAGCCTGTGCTCCGCAACGGGAGAGGCCACAGCGGTGAGAGGCCCGCGTACCGCAAAAAAAAAAAAAAAAAAAAAAAAAGAAAAAGCTGGGAATTCCCTGGTGGTCCGGTGGTTAGGACTCAGAGCTTTCACTGCCAAGAGCCCGAGCTGGATCCCTGGTTGGGGAACTAAGATCCCGCAAACCTTGCAGCATGGTCTAAATAAATAAATAAATAAATAAATAAATAAATGATAAAGAAAAAGCATTCAAGTGATTTCACTAGTTTTACTCTTTGACTCATCAAATATTTGTTGATTGTACCACATTATTCTAGAATTATCTTTCCTATTTTACAGTCTGCTGAATTTTCTATGCACCCATTTGAGAAAGCACTGAAGCTAAATACTTATCAAGTACTTTTGAAAAATTTAAGCTCCAGAAAAAAAAAATCAGAACAGTAGTTGTCTCTTGGGAAGTTGGGGATGGAGATAAACTGGGAAAAGGTATGAAGGAAACTTTTAGGGTGATGGATAATGTTTTAAAGGTTTGGGTCACAGAGGTATATGTATTTGTCAAAACTCAACAAATTTAGCCAAGATTTGTGCATTCCTCTGTATGTCAGTTTTACATCAGAAGGAAAAAAAACAAATTGGATTTTAGTAAGTGATATTGATATCTGGAATTTACTTTGAAATGCACTGAAAACAAGATAGATTAATGGATGGTTTGAGGAATGGATAGATGAATACATAATAAAGCAAATATAATAAAATGTTAATTGTAGAATCTAGGTGATGTGTGTATATATATATATATATGTGTGTGTGTTCATTATAAAATTCTTATAATTTTGCACTTTAACAATTTTCATAATAAAATGTTGAGGAAAATGTAATCACCGATCATCTATTGATATACTGATATGTTGAATATGCTTATATTTTATTCTTATAAACTAAATTCAACAGATTAAGTTCTAGAAGTTGCATCCCCCACCCTCCCAATTCAAACTTCTTGGATAGTTAAGCTATTTAAATATATATATATGATATAATTAGTGACAGGGCTGTCTTCATGACCGTGTTAACTATGCCGTCACACAGGGTCACGAAGTTGGTTCAATGCTCTGCTGTTGCTGTCTTGAAATTTTTATTACTTTTTAAACAAGGGGCCCTGTACTTTCATTTTACAATGGGCCCCGCAAATTATGTAGCTGGCCCTGACTAATGAGCAGTAATAATAATTACTAACATATATTATCTTCTCTTTTTGCCAGGCACTATGTTAAACACTTTATATACACTATTTCATTGAATCCTCAAAGACAGACTTAAGAGATAGTCTTAATATCCCCATTTTACAGATGAACATAATGAGGCTCAAAGAGGTTACGATATTTGCTCAAATTCACACATTTAGTGTACCCTCAGTATGCATAGTAGCACAGTACACATGGTAGATACTCAATAAATATTTACTAAATTAATAATAATAATAGTAATTATTATAGCAGCTCCCATTTATTGAGCACCTTCCAGCAGCCTACAATGCTCTGACTGAAACCCAACATGTTCTCCCTAACCCAGACTCCCCACCTTTGGCATCACTACCTTAAGACCACGTTCCCTGCCAGCCTAGATTAGGTCAAGTCTTCTCTTATGTTACCCTGTGCTTCTTTGTCATAGCAGTCATCACAATTGTAATTAGGTAGTTCTTTGTTTAATGCCTGTCTTCCCTTCTGGACTGGAACCTCAGTGAAGACAGTGACTCATTTTTATCTGCTCACCACTCTATTCCTACCATCCAGTGCTGTAGCTGGAGTGTAGCCTGCTTGCCAGGGCTGGATTATATATTTTTTCATTTACTCCTCAACTCTGTGAGGTAGAGATTGTTACCATCATTTTACATCATTTACAAGGCTCAGAGAAGCTAAGTCTGAGTCACCTCACCATAAGGGAAGCATCCACCATAACGTGGACCTACATTTGCCAGGCTCCAAAATCTCTTGTCCTTTCACGGCAGCCCACTGTTTCTATATGACAATCTGCCTGACACTATTTTCTATCTCCAGGCACTACTTATTCCCTTCAGCTCCTATTTTTGCTGTCTGACCTCTGGGCTCTGTGATGAAGAGGAGACATGCTTTCCAGGAAGTAATTACGGCAAGTGATATAACCAGGCTGGCTGAAGCCAGGATTTTATTTTTTAACCTTGATGAGTAAAGCAGCTGGAAATACTACCTTCTAAAAGCAAAGGATCCAATTTCCCCATGGTACTAACTCTTCCTTAGTGCTAGGAAACACCCTGAAGTCGTCTCTTGGGCTATGTAAATATAAAGCAATCTACCCAGGTCTAGTCTTGGGGAAGGCCTGAAATAATTAAGGTAAAGCAAACGTAGATGCTTCAGGCTGTTAACAAGATGTCTCAGTAGTTTTAGGCTTCGATAGATTTCTATGCGAAAATGTTTTTCCCTAAGTGTGGATTTGGACTATCCTATGCTTATGCATTGCTGCATATCTTTGCAGAGTTGAGAGGACTATTCTTTGGATTATTCTTTGTTTGTGAGGATCATAGAAGTGGGATGGGAAGGAATGCTGGGAGAGTGCACAGGCTTATTCTCTTCAGCTAGTGCTGGAGGACAGGCTGTGAACAAGAAATGGAGAGTGCTTGGCCCAGCATGCCCTGGCGTGGATGGTTGAGTTCTACCTGTGGTATTAAAATCCCAGCCTGAAAATCCCAGACCTTAGGAATTAAGACTGATGACAGATTGTGCTGTACTTTGTCTTTTGTAGGACATAGGGCATCTGGTGGTGGTAGAGTTTCCAGAGGACCTAGGTTTGTACCATTCTGAGGATGTTCAGACTGTGGACATCTCAGAGTAGCCACTACTAATAGCAGTGTAAGTTACCCTGTCTATTACACTTCTTTTCTGGTATTCCAAAGCCTTCTGAAAAGACTTGTTAACTGTCACACCCTGGCCTCAGTTGTGCTCTTGAGCTTGTTCTACTTTCTTGGAAGAATATCAAGCACTTCCTAAAGTTAATGATAGAAGCAATGGTGACAGTCATCTGTGCAAAACAGTGGTGCCCACTGTCCTCATAAGGGTGAGAGATAGTAAGGCTGCAGCAGGTCCAGAAAGTTGGGGCAGAAGTACAGGAGGGACTGTTTCTGAGAACACAAAAGCTATGTCAGAAATACAGAAGAAAAAAAAGAAATATGGGAGAGAAGGAGTTTGCCTTTTGCAGGAAATAGGCCCTGAGGGCTTATGCCATCATAATTTGAACAATAAAAGTAAGAATGATCATATTTTGTAGTCACTGGTTAGTGAGATAGGATGTACTGTATCTGTTATTCTATATGCCATAGCCAGTCTCCAAGATGGTTCCCAGAGATCCTTGCTTTTTTGTATTTATGTCTTTATATAGTCTTCTTCTTCAATGAATCAGGGCTAGTCTATGTGAACAACAGTGTATGGCAGAGGTTACAGTGGTTGACTTCCAAGGGTAAGTTGTAAAAGACTTGCAACTTCTGCTCTGGTCCCTTGAATTGCTTGCTTTGGGGTAGGCCAGCAGTCATCTCATGAAGCCTCTTATTTATTTATTTTTGGCTATGCCACGCAGCATGCGTGATCTGAGTTCCCCAACCAGGGATGGAACCCTTGCGCAACTGCATTGGAAGTATGGAGTCTTAACCACTGGACAGCCAGAGAAGTCCTCATGAAGACTCTTAAGCTGCTCTGTGGAAAGGCCTACAAGAGGAGGAACTGAGGCCTCTACCACCATCCAGGACCAACTTGCCAGCCAAGTGAGTTAAGTCATTGAACGTGGATCTTCCAGCCCCATTCAAGCCTTCAGGTGACTGCAGCCCCAGCTGACATTTGACTGAGCCTCATGAGAACACCCTATCCAGAACTTCCTAGCCAAGTGGCTCCCATATTCCCAGTCCATAGAAACTATAAGAGATAATAAGTGTTTATTATTGTTTTAAACTAGTAAGTCTTGGGATGACTTGTTATGCATCAATAAATAAAACACTATACTATAGATTCTATGGAATAAACGTCTATGTGAAACTCTGCCTAAATAGATCAGCCAAGTCTTTAGAAAAAAAGAAGACATGGGTTGAGTCTTCAAAGATGAGTAGGAGCTTGCAGGTGCAGGTAAAGTGGAGAAAGGGGAATCATTTCAGGCTAAAGGAACAGCTTGACTATAGGGCCAGAAGTAAGAGGGCATGGCTTGTTTGAAAAAACAGCAATTAATTCAGCATGACTGAGGTGCAGTATGTTTAAAGAATGAGGTAGAGAAAGATTACAGGAGTAGACAGGAACAAGCTCAAAAAGGACCTTAAATGCCATGTTCATCTATTTGTTTTTTATCCTAAAGGCAATGAGGAGCCACTAAAGAATTTTTAAGCAGGCAACTGACATGATCAATTGTACATTTTAGAATGATGGCCAAATGGAAGATGGATTGGAGGCAGAAAGACCATTTAGAAATAATTGCAAGTCCAGGTGAGAAATGATTAGTGCCTGAATTAAGGTCTTAGCAGTGTGAACGGGGGGCAGGGAATGGAGGGCTATTAGGAGGTATAATTTTCAGAATATGAGGGATGAGGAAAAGGGAATATGTGGGATCCAGGAGGAGGAACAAGTTTTTAAAAAATATTTATTTATTTATTCGGTTGCGATGGGTCTTACCTGCGGCACGCGGGCTCTTTGTTGTGGCGCACGGGCTTCTCTCTAGTTGTGGCATGCAGGCTCAGTAGCTGTGACACATGGGCTTAGGGATCGAACCCGTGACCCTTGTGTTGGAAGGTGAATTCTTAACCACTGGACCACCAGGGAGGTCTTGAGGAGCAAGCTTTGAAGGGGTGAGTTTGAGTGGTGTGTAGGACACCAAGGTAAACATGTACAGGGGACAACTAGAAACACTGGTCTGGCTTGGAACCCAAGAGGGAATGAAGTCAGGCTGAAGATGCACAGAAGTTTTGAAGGCTTTTTCATACAAGCATCCCTTCTTAAAAGGTAAGTAACTCCATGGGTGAAATGAAATCAAACTACAGTTTAGAGTTTTAGATTTACCTTTCATTGATAGCAAAGCCATTTAGAAATAAGATTTACAGTAAAAACCTGGGATAGGATCAATGGCATGAAGTCAGAACCAGGTACAGGTGGAAGGCCATTTTGTAGTATCTTCCAGTTTTGCTGGGGATTCAACCATCAGCAGAATCTGGTGACTATTTAAGTATAGAGATTGAAGGAGAGGGAAGAGTCTAAAAAATTAGTTCCCTCCCCCAAAGTTTCCTTTCTTAGATCTACATTTTCCATCATGTATAACATCTTATGATCTATGCCCCATTTCAATATCACTGATTTAAAAATTTTCTGAAGTAAATTTTGCTTCCATTTTCTTCACCTATTTTCCAGTAAATTTATATGAGTTTCATGATCTTCTACTTCCTCCTTTTTTCCCCTTTCTCCTCTTCCTGCTTTTTGTGAACAAAAGAAAATAAAACCTCTTCCTTTACTGACTATATAACAGGTGTAGCAGAATTCTTGATTTTTTTAATTGAATATTTTACAGGCATTCATTCTTGATTCATTGTCAATAGCTCTCTAATTCTTTGAAATTGTTTTTCAACTAATACAGTGATTTTCATCTCTAACACCTAAGTATGGCCTAGTAGTCAACGCTCCAAGACTTGGAATTCAACCAATTCACCTGATTTGACCTGATCTACTTATCCAAGAGGTATATATTTAGAAAGATCACATAGATAAATGCAGTGTCCATAGCACTAGCACTTCAAGGATTAAAGAAAAAGTAACTTGCCAGGTCATATAGTTTTGTAATCAAGTTGAGAAGAAAGATCACTGTGATAAATGTGCTACAATCCCAGATTTTGAACAGGACTTTTTCTTTTGGTTGTTTCAAAACTATTTCTCCCTCAGTAAAAATTAATAGCAATGGACTTCATGTCGTTTTATTTGTGGAAATAACTGCGGTTAAAAAAAATAATTACCGCTTAATTTTTGTCAGCAAGAAAGCCCAAGGAAAGTAATGTTAAAAATAAGGAAATGGAGCTGAGTGCTTAGTGGTTAGCATCTGGAGACACCACTTAATGTACTTAACTTTTTCAACATTTAATTGATGAAAATTGAGGCTCAATAAAAATTTTCTAAGGAGCAAAATGTCTAATGAATATTTTATATTTAGCTTTAGATAAAACAGTTTTACAGCATAATTAAAGGTAAATCTGTAAAATCCTAGGTAATAGGGCTTCACTGGTGGCTCAGTGGTTAAGAATCCGCCTGCCAATTCAGGGAACGTGGGTTCAAGCCCTGGTCCGGGAAGTTCCCACATGCACTGGAGCAACTAAGCCCGCGAGCCACAACTACTGAGCCTGCTCTCTGGAGCCCGCGAGCCACAACTATGGAAGCCCGCGTGCCTAGAGCCCGTGCTTCTCAACAACAGAAGCCACCGCAATGAGAAGCCGGCGCACAGCAAGGAACAGTAGCCCCCGCTCGCCATAACTAGAGAAAGCCAGCGCGCAGCAACGAAGACCCAACGCAGCCAAAAATAAATAAATAAAATAAATTAATTAATTAAAAAAAATCTTAGGTAACAGATTTTTTTCTAAGATGAAAAAGTTCTTTTGATTACATAATTGAGACATGCTCATTTAAAAAAAATTCAATTGATCCAGAAAAGCAGGAAATAAACTAAATTACATAAACCTCACCAGCCACAGAGAAGCACTGTTAAAATTTTGTGAACTTGCTTCCAACCGTCTCTTCATACATATATTTGTGTATGCATATGTATGCCCGTAGCGTGACCTACACAGAATCATACCGTTCTGTAAACTGATCTTTTCATTTTGCAACACGTTGTGGACACCTTTCCATTTCCATAAATATAGATCTGGTTCCAGCTTTCTAAACAGATGCGTAGTATTACGCTCTATATAAACACCGTAACTTAACCAACCATTCCCACACTGTTGAACATTTGGGTTGTTCCCAAGGCTTTTTTTTTTTTTTTTTTCGGTACGCCGGCCTCTCACTGTTGTGGCCTCTCCCGCCGCGGAGCACAGGCTCCGGACGCGCAGGCTCAGCGGCCACGGCTCACGGGCCCAGCCGCTCCGCGGCATGTGGGATCTTCCCAGGCCGGGGCACGAACCCGAGTCCCCTGCATCGGCAGGCGGACTCTCAACCCCTGCGCCACCAGGGAAACCCTCAAGGCTTTCTTTTAATTAGCAATACCATGGTAAACATCCCTGTCATATTTCTTTCTTTCTTTTATTATTATTATTTTTAAAGATTATTTGATGTGGACCATTTTTAAAGTCTTTACTAAATTTGTTACAAGATTGCTTCTGTTTCATGTTTTGGTCTTTTGGCCCTGAGACATATGGGATCCCAGCTCCCCGACCAGGGATCAAACCCACACCCCCTGCATTGCAAGGCAAAGTCCCAACCAATGGACTGCCAGGGAAGTCCCCTTATTATTTATTTATGTATTTATTTATTTGTTCATTCAAATAAAACATGGCTCGGGACTTCCCTGGCAGTCCAGTGGTTAAGACTCCGTGCTTCCACTGCAGGGGGAACAGGTTTGATCCCAGTTCAGGGAACTAAGATCCCACATGCCGCACAGTGCGGCCAAAAAAAAAAACAAAAACAGAAACAGACAAAAAAAAAAAATATGACTCAGAGCCCCCACTCATCAAGGTGGACAAGAGTTATTTCTGGGATTCTTTTCCCCGCTACAGTGAATTATATATGACCTCCAGGGTTTGAGTGGCCCTAGGAAACTGGATTGGGGTTATGCTATTGATCCTCCTTTGTCTGGCCAGAGACAGTCCTCTCCAGAGGTCTTCTCCATTCTAGGCAGGGAAGCAGCCCTGCAACACTTTTAAAGCTGCTTTCAGGATCTCAGTGCTTAGTGACCTGTCTCCCAGGCATCCTGCAGCCATCCCAACCTGGGTCTGTTATTTTCGAGGGAGATACTTGGAAATCCTAAAATTCCACAACCCCTCCCCAGCCTTAGTGTTGTCTTTATACTAGTAAAGGCTATTTTCTTGAGGAGATGGGGAAAAGGAACTACCACTCAACCTCTCCATATAAACCTATAACAGACAACTAGACAGTTGACTGTGGAGGAGTTACTTAACCTCCTGAAACCTCAAATTCTTTATCTATCTATAAGATAACAACAAATAGCAACCCCATCCTGCCAGTTGTAGAGACCAGAAAATTTATTTGTCTTTAGCTTCCCTCATTCTCTCACTGCCACTCATATTCTGCCTCCTGAACCTTCAGAACAGAACGAGAATCTGACCACTTCTCTCCACCTACCCTGCTTCTACCTTGGGCCAAGTCTCCACCGTGTCTCACTTGGATCTTTGCAGTAGCCTCCTAATAGGTCTCCTTGATTCTACCCTTATTCCTGTCATCAATTTTCTTTTGAAAAGGATGATGGCTTTCATCTAACTTTGAGGAAAAGGCAAAATTCTTAGACTAACCTAGAAAGCCCTCTTATATGACTTAGCACCACCTCCCCCACTTCTCTGACCTCAGTTCCAACCATCCTCTTCTTCAGTCACACTCCCCTTGCCAAAACATGTCAGGCGTGCCTTTTGCATTATCCTCAGGATAATAGTTTCTCCATGCAGGTATCTGCTCAATTACCTTTATCATTATCCCCAGAGCCTGCTTCATTTTTCTCCACAGCACTTATCACTGACATAGAGTATGTTTATTTCACTATCTCTTAAAACTGGAATATAAGCCTGTTGAAGGAAGGACTTGTCTATTTCTATTTAGGTTTTCAGTGCCTAGAGAGTACCTAGCACACATTAGGGGCTCAATAAATATTTGCTGAATAAATGAATGGACAATCATATCTTTCAGAATTGGAGTAAGTGTTCATTCTGATAATGTTAATGCCTATTGAATAGGAAGGACTATTTGAACACAGATTGTTGCTGTATCATCATTATTATTATATTTATACTAGTCTTTGAAGACTGTATTAGAAAAAGGGTATTCCAGCAAAGAACTGACTGAAGCAGAGGCTTACAAGTAGGAAATACCCTGTAGGTACGTGTGACCTGCACTGAAAACTAAATATTGGTTAGAGCTAGTGTTGGAAATGTAGGGATGAATATGGAGGGAACTGAATTCAAGGCTCAGAAGTACGGGTTTGTCCCTAACAGTGGGGAACCATCCAGGATTTTCAGCCAAGGAAGATATGATAAAATCTTGGTTTTTGAAACTTCTGTGGTGATAATCAGTTATCCTGTGTTGCAAAATTGCATTTTGTGGCTTGTGGGAGGTGTGTTTGTTAATCAGAGAAAACGGTGTGTTTCTTTAAGAAATTTTGCTGGACCTTTTTGTCTGATAGGACCTGGCCTGTGACCTTATTTATGATCCCCTCTTTTCATGCAGACACCAAACATCCTCCACGTGGAGAAAAAGAAGGCTGAGAGCCAGAGCCTTGGTGATTCACTCTTAGTTATTTCCCCTTTCATGATTCTAATTTGCTCACCCTTTGGACTGTCTTCTTCAGACTGTGGCTATATTTCATGTCTTGGTTTTCCACTTCACAGGCAATTTCTGACCATATCTTTCTCCATGACATAACCCCACTGTCATTTAAAATCTTGCCATCCGAAGTGCGGTCCTGGGACCAGTAGCACTGGCATCACCTGAGAGCTTGTTAGAAATACAGAATTTTCAGGACCCACC